TGCGTGAAATTAAAAAACAAACACTTTCGAGACAGTTTTTTTTTTTACTGAATATATATTTTTATAATAATATGACTTGTTGTTGTATCAGTATTTAATCCCTTTCTATTTATTGTACTTATTTTAAAGTTTATGGACTTTCAACACTAATCTTGGGGTTTCATTCCCCATGATGGACATATTGTATAGCTTTGCAATATAAAAAACTTAAGAATTGCCTTTAATTAAACTTGCATCTGAATTTGTATGAATTTAGCAAGAAATTGTCATTAAATACAAATGAATAAAAACCCTATAACCCGAGTGCTTTCGTAAGGTGGACCTTTCAAAAATGCTCGGGTTATAGGGTTTTTATTCATTTCTATCAAGACTTCTTGAACGTACTTGTTTTTCTAACATCATGAATCATTAAATAAAAAAAAATTCAAGCAATTTTGCAAAAATTGAAGAGTGTTTGATGTTTTGAGCAATTAAATTTTTAGGGCATTAAAATTTTCAACCCATTTATTATTCAATAAATTATCATTCACCACTGATATTTTACAACTTCACATATGAAAGTAAAATTAATATTGAATAAAAACCTGATCAGCAGAAGCTAGTTACACAGATCGGAACTATAAAGTAACCCAGTAACTCATGTAGCTAATGTAATATATTGGTGTAACTAAGAGCATGCAATAAGACAAAATATTACAATGACTAGAATGCATTCATTTGTTAACTGGGCAAAACCTTTACAATTTTGGTCACAATTTGGATTGTATTTCATGAGGCTTGTCCAGCTTAAATAATGAAATTTAAGTTGATCTCAAATCCATATACTAAGCTAACAATGGAAAATACACACTATAATGAAATATACATGGATGTATGTATATATATATATACATACACACAATAAATAAATGACAAATAATAAAAGTAAGTATGTATAAATTAAAGGGCCGGCATGGCCAGGTGGTTAGGGCGCTCGACTCGTAATCTGAGGGTCGCGGGTTCGAATCCCTATCACACCAAACATGCCAAGTCCAGGATGAGAAAGGGGGAGGGTTGGGCGCAGGAATAGAAACTCCACCCCGTAAAAACGAACCTGCTACAAGTAACTGCAACAACATCTTCCATTGGCGAAGTGTTGTTGCAGCCCTATGCTCCACTGGGAGTTTACAGGAATAAAAAAAAAATGTATAAATTAAACATTTTAATCAATACTACTAAAGAAACTAACTTTTAAAAAAGAAAGGAATATAATTTAGTTACGAGACAAATAAAAACTTGTTTCTTGATTCATGCACTACCATTGATTTCCTGTCCCTTCAAAACAATAACTTTATTGAAATCTTCTTTCTTTTATAGAGCACTGTTTGACTATGACCCTTCTAAGGACAGTGGTTTGCCTGGCCGAGGGCTAGCCTTTCAATTTGGTGATATTCTACATGTCATAAATGTCAGTGATGATGAGTGGTGGCAAGCTTGCATTATACATCCTAATGATGAAGATTTTATTGGTATTATTCCTAGTAAAAACAGGTAGAAATTGTAAATTCGAAACTCATGTCTGGTTTAAAAGTTAATGAGCCTGAAGAATTGATTAAAAAAATAGTTTATTATATCAAGACATAATACAAGACTTGTTTGTTTTTTTTTGTAAGATGTAAGTTTTTATTCAACAAAATTAATCTACCATTTACTGCAAATTTCTTGGCAATGAATTAAAATATTAATCTGAAGCAATAATTTGGATTGTTGAAGCAATATTCTTATGAATAGTAGGCTTCAATGTTTAGTTGTTATGACTAATAGGCCCCAGTGTTTACTGTTATGAATAGTAGGCTTCAATATTTAGTTGTTATGACTAATAGGCCCCAGTGTTTTCTGTTTTGAATAGTAGGCTTCAATGTTTAGTTGTTATGACTAATAGGCCCCAGTGTTTCTGTTTGAATAGTAGGCTTCAATGTTTAGTTGTTATGACTAATAGGCCCAGTGTTTACTGTTATGTAATAGTAGGCTTCTAATGTTAGTTGT